TTGCTTCTTAGAAGCAAATCCAGTAGGATGTACCTGGATGGAAACGTCCAAGTTAATAAATTGCATTTCGTAAGTTTTCCTATGCCTTATTTAAAAAAAAAAAAAAAAAAAAAAAAAAAAAAAAAAAAAAAAGGGGGAAGAGGCGAGAGGAAAATGGAGGAAATGGAGAAAAGGGAGAAAGAAATGGAGAAGAAAAAAAGAGAAACAACCCCCCCCAGACCCAAAAAACAAAACAAACAAAAAAAAAACCCCAAGCAAAACAAAACGAAAACAAAAAAAATAGAACCACGCTGCCCCCAAAACCAAACAAGAAAAGACAGCTCTTATTCCCTGTCAGTTTTCACGGGGACCGCCAGCTCCTGGCCCAGCTCGAGCTTGATCAGGGGCAGGGCGGGCTCTGGAGCGRTGATTTCCAGCCCCGCCCCGGTGTAAGAGCCTCTCACAGGTTCGCTCTGCGCCGCGGGGAGGGAGAGCGGCACCGGCACCGGCATCGCAGCGCTGCCCGCGCCACCGCGGCGGCACCTGGAGCTCCGGAGCAGAGCCAGCCCCACGGCGGGGGGAGCGGATCTCACCCACCCCTTCACCTCCGTCGGGCGGGACTGGCCGGGCCAGGCACGGGGGAAGCGGCGACACCGCGTCCTCACGGCGGACAAACATTCGCTGTCCGGCCGAGGCGAGCGCCGGCGGGGCTGCGCCTTTAAGGGGCCGGGGGAGGCGGCRGCGGGCGGGTTCCTGCGCGCCGGGGCCGCTCCCTCCCGCCGTCCTTCTTTCCCTCCTCCGTTCCCTCCCCCGTTCCTTCCCCCGCCGGGCGGGCGGGCGGTGGGCAGTGCCCGCTGGCCGCCGCCGCGGGGCTGGGACGGGCGGTGGGCATCCCGGCTCCCGCAGCCATGGCCGAGCCTCTGCGCCGCCGGCTCCCGCTGCTCCCGCTGCTCCTGCTGGCCGCCGGCGGGCTGCGAGCGGCGGAGCGGAGCGGCGGCAGCAGCAGCGCCATGGAGGAGCTCGCCACCGAGAAGGAGGCGGAGGAGAGCCACCGGCAGGACAGCGTGAGCCTGCTCACCTTCATCCTGCTCCTCACCCTTACCATCCTCACCATCTGGCTCTTCAAGCACCGGCGCGTCCGATTCCTCCACGAGACCGGCCTGGCCATGATCTACGGTGAGTCCCGCCGGGGCCGCGGCACCGCCCGCGCCTCAGCCCCGGTGCCAGCCCCGGCAGGTGCCGAGAGGGGCGGGGGGCACGGGCACCGCGGCACCGGCCGCGCCCCTCCGTGCCGCCGGAGGAGCCCCGAGCCCCTACGGCTGGCGAGTAGGCCGAGCCCTGGGCAGGGGCAGCCCCTCGCCGCAGAGCCCGACCGGTGCTCCTGGGTCCCCTCCCCTCGCCAGAGCCTTTCCTGGGGCTGGGAACAGAAGGACACGGAGGGGGAACACGCGGTCTGCAGTCTCCCGTGCGGCAGCGGAGCGCTGTCCTGCGGGAAGGTGCGCCCCACCGCCGTGGCCGTGCTGCCGGTACAGCGCTCCGGTGACCGTCCCCGCCGCAGAAAGGCAGCTCGCCGGCTGTCCTTCTAGCGGCGTGGAGCGCCGGGCCGTGCAGGTCATCGCGGCGGTGCCTTTGGAAAGCGCCATCGCGCTGCCCTCGCCGCGCCGCGGCCGCACCGCGCGGAAAGGAGCGTGTTCAGCCTCCGGGTTTGCTGTCGGCGCGCTGCTGTCACCSGCGGGCCGGGTTTACGGCTACCGACTGACCGCAGTGACACCAGACACCCTGACACTGCCCGCGGCTCATCCCGAGTCCTCCTGGTGGAAGGAGGGCTGTACTGGGTTGAGTTCGCCCACTCCAGATCCCTCTCCTAGGTGGATGTGAGTAAAGGGAAAGTAAATCCTTCAGGAGGAGCTATGTGCCCCCGCTGCGTTTGTGGGGCTGATGGTCCAGAGCAGCCGGGCCCTGCTGGATACTGGTAGTGGTGCTGGTCTGGTCTCCCTGGTGCTGTGAATGACTGGCGCAGAGGGTTCAGGTGAGCCTGAACTGGGCACACAGAGCCCTCGCCCCGCGGGGAGCTCCATGGCTGTATTCGGTGCRCAGTTTGCTACGCAGAGCATAGTGGGTTGCGGTGAAGAGCAGCCATCTATTTGAAATATTATTTGTCTGCTGGTGATTGGCTCCTGCCATAAGCGCCGGGGGCACTTCTCCTCCTTCGACAGCAGAATCCGTTCCTGCTGAACCGTGTGAAACACCTGCCCGATGTTGGTCGGGATAAGCATGTTGAGGGTAACCACACACGAGAAATTCAGCACTCAAGGGGAGGGGGAAAGGGAAGCGTTTCCTCCCCGATGAGTACTACTGCTCTTGAGCTATSTGATTGCTTGCAAAGCAGTGGAATTTTCCTCTGCTGATGCTTCTCTTAAACCATCCCAGTTTGCTCTTAGTCACTGATCTCTTTGCTGCATTGCTGTGTATTTCACATATGCTCATTGCTGAAAACCGACAAATTAACAACTGGGCATATAGTTAAATTATGCACTGGCATGATAATGCTTAGCAGCTGAGGAGTGCCCAGGAGACAGCAGATTAATTGTCTGTATTGATTGGAAAAGAGACAGGGTAAGGTGATATTGAAGATGTTTAGATATTACCCTCGCATTGTCACTTTCAGAAAGTTCATTTATGATGTTTCRTGATCATTTCAGTGGCTTAGTTTATGCTGAAAATCTTGTGTATGTGGGTGTGCTAATGCATGCCAGACAAGTGTCAGGGCATCAAGGTCATTGGRTATGCGTTTTGATGAGCTGCGTGGGAAATGAGAAATTGTTCAACTGGAGAGCTTCTGCCTCTTGTTAAATCAGTTTGCTCTAACAGGCAGTTCGTGATCTGTGAAAGGGCTGTTAGGTTCCAAATTYGGTGCTGAAATTTTGTCTTAGGAAAGGCACTGTGCTATATGTCTTTCAGCCCCATTGGCAGCATCAAAAGAAGAATGATTAACTCAAACTACTGCATGTATTAGGTGTGCCCTCACCTAAATAATTTTGCTTTCATAGATCATTCCTTAATGCACTTGCCTTCTAAGTGAGTCCCCTTAGTATRTCAAAATACAGACACTTCTGCCTCCCAAACAAACTCATTCCTGCCTTGTCATGGCAAATATGCTAGGAAACAGGTTTAGTGAGTTCAGTCCCTACCTAACATGGTTAGCTTCCATGCTGGTAAAGCTCTGCTGAGACCTGGCTTCACTTAAGCATTTCACAGACTTCTAGAAAGCAAAGAAAACAACACAGCAAGTGCCATAGTAACTTTCTGTTACACTGCTGATAACTGGGCTGAAGTCTCCTCTTCCTTCCTTGCTGTTTAAAAGGCAGCGGTTAAACTGATAGATGGGTTTCTATTTTGCTGGTAACTTGCTATCTGMGAAATGCACTTTGAAAATAACTGTATTTGTATTTAAAGTGCACMTGTTTGATCAGTCTGTTTGGACACAGAATCACAAGGCAATATGCCAACCAGAGGGTTTGTAGTCCTAAAAGCACAAGTATCTATTTTGCTTATAAAGAGCTAAATACAATTGAATTCTAGTGTTGAAGCTGTAACTGGGGTGCTGCTCTGTGAAAGTTAAATACTAGCAAATATCATCTGCTCSAGCAACAGTATTGCTAATGTCAGGCTTATGGAAAAATTAAACACAATGCAACCCAAGCAAAAACCAATCCGCAACAGAGAAATTCAGGAGTTGAAACTTTGCTGATAATGATTATGAYGCTTGCTTTTCTTAGTGTTGGTCTGAATTCGAGGATAAAGTATTCCAAGACACGATTTTTCCTGAAGAGCTTCAAYAGCGACTTTGTTTTGCAGGCTTCTTGATTCCCTGCTGAGAAGCATCACTGTGTGATAGGGAGCAACAGGAAATGCACCGTACACCTGGACAGCTCAGGGTGGGTTTAAGGGTGGGAAGTGTTGGTGGCCCCCAGTACACTGCTCTTTAGGGGGCAGCTGTCTGGATATGTCGGTCATTTCCAGCAGATCCTGTGGTATCACTCCCACTATCAATTACTTTGTCCCTTTTCRTACGTGGTAATTCAGGAAAGTGTCCAGCCTTGAATCATCACAGGTGTCAGTCCTGTCAGGTACCTTCCTGTCTGTGGGGTTGTTCTAGAATGTCTGGGGGCCACATGTGCTCGTGCTGCATATAAAACCAAACTAGACTTGAGTACCATGAAAGAAAAAACAATAAAGAAAGAGGAATATAATACTTCTATTACCTTTTGAGGAATAGAAATGAGAGAGAAGCTGTAAATATTCAGGATGAAAACATTATATCTGTTCTGGAATACTCTGTATCAGACTAAATTTCTGTATCCACAGAGTACATACAGAAAGGGTCTATTTTTAGCTCATCTGGCTGCAGTGCTCTCTGTTACAATTCTAATATCTATCTACACATGCTAGAGATGACCTAACTCGTCTGCACTGCCAGCAAAATAATGTCAGTCTTGGTTTTTAATAAGCCACTGACATAAGCCTCCTAATACTAGATTTAGGATCACAACTGAGCACCCAGTTTTTARAACGTTATCCTTTCTCTGGCAACCCGCTTGTTCTTCCTGAATATTATTTTAAATCACTTTGTTACAGGCTTTCAAAGTGARTCTTGCTCATTTTTTTTGGCAGCTCAGTATGTTTTAATTATAATACAAATCTCTTCTGTAAGCTTGCTTTATGGCCTGTGACTGGGTGGAAAAAATTATGAATTCTTCTTGTGAGAGAAATTTAGAAGAAATGCTATATATTTGTTATTAACCTAAATGTATTTCAGATTTGCTCTTCAGGCAGGTTTGGTTGGATAGCTCATAAATTGCTGGTGTTTCTRAATCAGCTTTGGAATACAATTTGTCTGTAGTCCTTAGGGCAGTGATTTTTGTTTCTTTCTTTGTTTTGTGGGTTAGGGTTTTGTTTGTTTGTTTTTATAAGGGCAGTGCAGTTAATTAAGATAAATTAATTCATTTTATATGTTTGTTAAATTAATCTTCATGAGAAGTTTTCTCAAATCAGCGGCAGAATACCCTGTGATTGCTGGCATAAGCCCAAGAAGAGAGAAATGGCAACCTGGATTTCTTTTGTGTGAGGAAGTCTTTGTGTACCTGGCTGTTAAAGCTGGTGCTGCTCTGCAGCATCGTGTAATTGTAGGAAGCACACAGAGGCTGAAGGGGGGTGCTGTTCCTCTGCATGTACAGTAATTCTCATCTGAATTAGAAACTTACCACAAACAGGTGCCAGCTCTGTAACACTGCAGGGCTCACACTCTGCCTGCCTTCTGCTCCTGTGTGAGTGCTCTGGTTGTGTTGGTTGGGGTGTGCTGAGCTGAGGGGGTGTAACCTCATGTTTTGTCACAAGCACAAGCTTGTGGTCAGAGTGAGGTGGTTCCATGACAGGTTAATGTGGCACTTGTCYGGGCCCTGTAGGAGATTGAGGTTTCCTTTGTTCACTTCAGGARATTTCTTTTGGAACCACTTCCAATTTTCCTTTGCTGCTTTGCAACAAATGTGTCTCTAAACAGGTCCTCCAATGATTCTCCCTGACAGGACAAAAGCATCTGCAGCTACTGTAGTAGCTTCTGCTCTGGTGCAGATGAGAAAACTGAAAAGGAGATGGTGAGGCAAACATCAAGTCCAACAGGATGCCCAAAATTACTTCTCAGGTGCTGCTGACATCCCTGTCTCAGTGCTTCTTTACTTAGTCTTTGGGGGTCTATGCTTTTGGGAAGAGGTGRATGGGATCGATCAGTTCTGGGTTTTCACCTGTCTCCTTTTTTTCTTGGYAAAGTAGATCTTGGTTTTAAAGATGGTCATAGAAAGGTGATAGGGAAAGATTCTTTGGCTCTGTTAACAAAAATCTATGTGGCAATTGGTGTGTAATCTTATCTCTAGATTTCACAATACTACATTGTAAATTTCCCATAATGAACTGTAATTGCTAATTCAATCAGAATGAACAATTCAGATACTGTTCTTTTAGATCTTTAATTTGAAATATTGTGCTGAACAGAAGTGGTTTTGGCTGTGTGTTCTTTTGCAGTGCATCTTTAATAGACCTTTCTCACTTCCTGTTCTATAGAAAGGTTAGAACATTGGAATTGCCTTCACCCGAMGCAATTACCCACACAGCAGGAAGTG